TTATTTTAAATTATGGGATTGATAATAAAAAGTTAAATACTCTTAATCGGCACTCTCAAAATATTAATAAAAAAATAAGTTGTTCTAATAAAATGAAAGCTCACATGCCAAAGACTCTCACTCTCCGTTCGCCGTTTTATCAATGGACTAATAATCAACTAGTTTTTCGTTAAACCATACGTCTTTTTCAGTTATATTTCAATCGGTGGCACAAGGTACATGAGCCGACGCGACCCGACCCCAAAAGTGTTGTTGATTTTTTTATTGACTTCACTTAATTTAGGAACCACGTGATTTTTTGTTCTAGATTTGCCACTGCCTGCAGTAACAAAAACTTTAATGCCAAGGTATTTAGCCATCTGAATAGCAAATGTACCAATGCCACTTGAACCACCATGTATCTGAAAACCTTATAATATCATGTCTACTCAGAGTGTAGCAGAAAAACAGTTTTTTTTTTTTTTTTTTTTTTTTTTTCAATGCCGATTCTAGGGTTAGATGGCCAAAAATTTGGTGGTTAAATTACAATCAAGGACATCTTAGAAGCAAAAAATAACATTTGAGTTTACCAGAAATGCTTCCCCTGAAGATAGCTTGCTTGTCATGAAGACCGTTGACCAAACAGTGCATGCCACTTCCGGGAAGCTAGCAGCATCTTTCAAAGAAACACCGGAAGGGATCGGAAGAACTTGACCCGAAGGTACAGCTACTTTTTCGGCATATCCTCCACCACTTATCAGTGCACATACCTACACTTTCAAGATTCCCATATTATCAAACATGAAGAAGAAGAAGAAACTTGACAACAACTGATTGGAGTTATAGAAATTTGCAGTTGAGTACGCACGCACCTGGTCCCCAACTTTCCAACGGGATACGTTTTTGCCGACGGCTTCGATGGTTCCGGAACATTCTAGTCCTAAATACTCGCTCACTCCTTTTGGAGGAGTTTCCTTTCCTTGCCGTATTAGCGTATCAGCTCCGTTGAGAGCCGTGGCTTCCACTCTGATCAACACGTCGTCATCTTTGACTTTCGGTTCTTCTACTTCTTGCAGTTTCAGAACTTCTGGACCTCCTGGAGTTGTGATCACTACAGCCTTCATAGTTTCCGGTTATGGGAAGTAAGTTTGGCCAGAAGAGGATTTTTTTGGGATAGCATCGATTATGAGGGGACAATTACAAAAACAATTTGCAAAACGCCATTATTGAGCAACCCACTTTCCGCTAATTAGCCGCCAATAAATTATTTGAGCAAATGATCTCTATGGTACACTGAAATTAGCACTTTAGTCGCCTGTTTTAGTAAAATTAGCAACTTTGGTCCATAACCCACATAAAGTCACTTTTGTCATTTATTTTATATTTTCTTTTACATATTTTATATTTTTATTAATATTAAATATAAATGGCCCATAAAACTCACCATCACTCCTACTCTACTCAAGCCTTTCTACTAGGGGTGTGCGCGGTGCGGTTTGGTGCGGTTTAGAGCCAAAACCGCAAACTGCACCGCATATGTAGTTTGAGTTATTTAGAAACCGCAAACCGCATCGCGAACGTTCAAAACCGCATTATGCGGTGCGGTTTGGTGCAGACGGTTTATGCGGTTTACATGCGGTTTTGCGGTTTGATTAATTATTAACTTTAAATTTAATGATAATACTATCATTGTCATCACTAAGTGGTCATTAAGAAATTTGGTGGTCAAATAATTATGGTCATTAACTACTTATGAATATACATTAGTTAAGAAAACATAGTGACCATAAAATAATGGTCACTGAATCTTAGTTGAAAATGAATTTGAGACAAAAAAATATGGTAACTGCATTAAATTTTGGATGAATTGATATTATATTTTAAAAACTTAAGATAATGTCACTAATTTAGGACATGTCAAAATATTTTCTAAT